CGGGAGGGGGGGGCGGCTGCTCCCGCCTGCTGCTCGTAAACACGTCGCGTTTCCAACCTCACCGCTGACCTCAAGCTGCTCTGCGAGGACCTAGCGAGTAACGCTGGAGGCTGCTGCCTTGGCCCACCGTTATCCCGTGTAGCTCACCAGTGTTCATGGTTGCACATTGAGGTTTATAGACGCAGCAGCTCTGTAGCTTTAGGGCTTTGTGAAGTTGAAACCTTCAGGGTGGTGCCCAGGTCTGACTGATTTGGTGTCACTGAGCATATTCCTTTTGCCTTTTCATCCTCTCCAAACCTGCAAGATGCTGACTGCAGCTGGCATGTAATTAAGTGGTGCAATAGCATATACTGTTTTATTTATTATATAAGCACTTAATTTATTACAAACAATTAGAAACATCAGGAGCCCAAGATTTTCCTTGTGCAAATAGTTTCTAAAGGAAAAACTTCTTGCATGTGCTTTTGTGGGACATACACATCTAAATATACTGGATACTGCTCAGTTTTATACTACCATTTGTTTTAGCAATGCAGGAATAGCCATACTGCCTTCTAATATCTTCAGTTCTTAGCTGTTTCAAAGTGTACCAAAAGAACCTGTAAATGGACAGTATTTTTCTACCTTTTATAGCTTGTACCTCCGTTTAAGCCACAAGTTACATCTGAAACAGACACAAGATACTTCGATGAAGAATTTACAGCACAGATGATTACAATCACTCCTCCTGACCAAGGTAAAGCTTCCCAAATGTTTCCCACTCTTTTCTGTAGTCAACCAAAAACTCACTGTAATGCTGCCCAGTCTCTTTAGAACTTGGGAATGAAACATAAGTTAAAATTTGTGTGTTATTCCCATACATGCGTTTGAACAAAAATTGTAAAGTAGTTGGAAAGATATGTGAAAACTTTCTCTTCAAACTATTTTGGAAGGTGTTGTGATTTTGTGTGGTGTCCTCAAAATCTGCATATGAACAATAATTCTTAGTTTTGCACATGTGCACACATTGTGCATATATAGAGGCAGGCAACTGAGTGTGATCCGCATTCAGTCAGAGCAGATTTTCATGGTGACTGAGGTTGTTTGGTGCTCTGAAACGGTGGTGACCACAAATGCAGAGCAGTGGTCGCACGTGGAAGCAGTGCAGCTCCTCGTGGTGTTAAATGGACCTTTAAGGAGCGACTGATCTTCTGCAGAGCCCCTTTGGCAGGGTGGGATTGAACACGTGTAGGTGTCCGTGTGTGAGAGAGGAGGGGCAGGGGAGCCTTGTCAGCCTGTGGAAGAAAAAGCGACTGAATTTATTGCAGGCAGTGCATTATCTTATCATTTGCTTACTTAAAATGCAAAAGTACTAAGTGTTGTGTAATGTTTTCTGTTCTCAGATGACAGTATGGATTGTGTAGATAACGAGAGAAGACCTCATTTTCCTCAGTTCTCCTATTCAGCCAGTGGAACCGCTTAATGTTTGCAATGTTTTCCCATTCAGAAACAAAACAGACTGCATTTTGGGGACCTTACTTCAATGGACACTAGAGAACTTTCTATATTATCTGAATTACAAACTGTGTTTGTATTACAATTTAGAAGAATTTGTAGGAAGCCTCACAGATTCTGTATTTAAAACAATTCTTGGATGCATTTTTGAGAAGGAAACAAATCCATTCTTAAAGTATTAAGTCAAGGCTTTTATGCTGAATGACCATAGGTTTTTAAGAACATACACCAAAACTGTTTACCTTAGAAATAATTAAGGTATTCAACATATCAGCAACTCTGACCAGAAAATTCCCTTATTTTATTTATTTCATACAGTTCATTAAATATAGAATCTGCACTCTGAACAATTAGATTTATATAGGAAGATATAAGACTTTAGTAGCTAGTGCAATAATATAAGCAACAAAGTGAACAAAACTCTGGAGGTTTAAGGTTCAAACTCATTTTGGACAGCAGTGAAGTATCATCCTACTCCAGAAAACCAACTATAGGAACAGCATTAATTTGCCTCAGTGAGGTAAATCAAAAAGCAAAAGTTATTTTTGTTATAACATCTGCTGCAAGACATTACATATCAAAATGAATTCAGTGGAATCTAGTCCATTGCTACATTGTACAGATGAGTATTCCACTCAAGGCAGTGCATTTAATTACTCCATTTGCGTAGAGTTTGGGAATACTTAATAGGATTGGCTTCTCAGAATACAGCAAACATCAACTTACCAACCTAATCTGAAATGCAACCGTGCAAAATCACCCACTTTCACCAGTGTATAAAAATACCATACAGGGCTAAGTAAGAAGTGTCTTAATGAGCGAGTCAGCCAGACAAAAGGACATTTTGGCACTGAAGTAATGACTTGTTGCCGCTTTTTTTTTATGAAAAGATATATGAATATATATAAACACTTAAGGAATTTTTTGCATCATGCCAGATCATTTCTTCTTTCTTGAGTGTGCGTTAAAGGTATCAGCTGACAGTTCATGGTGCCTTCTCACTCTTGAAGATTCACTTTAACAGTGTTTCCCATGTGTAGGAAAAAAGCTAGGTTGAAACTTCATATGTGTTTGAATAATAATGGTGTTCAAAAAGTGAACTTTTTTGTT